ATGCACATACGACCTACATCAGCATCGTGGATGTTGGCTGAGAGGTGTAGGCTTCTATCCTTGAGCCACTGCAGTGTGCGCTTGGGGTTTGGGAAGAGGTTCGTGTCCCAGGAATAGCCTGTCCATCCATTCTTTTTGTGCCAATTCATATCAAACACAAACAAGTCCAGCGGCAACCCTCGGTCAAGGAAGCCATCAACCACTCGGCGCACCCCGTGGTCGTTGTAGTCATACCATCTGCATACCAATGTACGTAATTGCATATACGTAACATACGTAATTAGAAGTATGTAACATGCAGAATTAGAAATGTGTAACATGCGTAATTAGAAATATGTAACATATGTGACTAGAAATATAGGAACATACGTTAATACAATTATGTAACATACGTAATTAGATATATGTAACATACGAAATTTGTAACAAATATATGTACAAGCCAATGTATCCATTTAAATTCACTGAATCAACCCACAACAAACCCTAAAACCCTGTGACTGTATTTGTTGTAACGTGCGCCTATGGGTGCGATTGCTGATCGCTGGCCATTTGTGATACATGTTAATTGCCAATGCGCGTGTGTGAGTCTTACGGGCAGTCGGTCGTTCAATTATTTTACGGTTATAAGATTTTAGGATTTTAGGGCTTTAGGAATAGGTTTAGCGCCCCTAGACTTGCTGGTGGTACGTAGACTCAGCTGCGCCACCCGCTATGTACTGCGCAATCGAAGCAACGAAAACCGATACAAACTAAGAGCGGTGGGTGTGATATGTATATGTAATAACGAAAAGGCCTGCATGTTAAGGATATGGAGAGTCTGTTATTTGTAAGTAACCACAGAAAGGGTTACATTTAAAGAATACGTATAGTTGTTATTTGTAAGTAACCTTGGAAACAGTTACATTTTAAGGATATGAAGGGTATATAATCTGTAAGGAACCATGGAAACGGTTACATTTTAAAGTTATGAAGGGTATATAATCTGTAAGTAACCATGGAAACGGTTACATTTTAAAGTTATGAAGGGTATATAATCTGTAAGTAACCATGGAAACGGTTACATTTTAAGGATATGAAGGGTATGTAATTTTACGTAACTATGGAAAGGGTTATATTTTTAAGGATACGTATGGTCTGTTTTAAACTGCCACACACTATACATCAGTCGCCGATGTTTCCGCGTCCTAGCCCTACAAACCTAAAACCCTAAAATCTGTTCGGTCATGGTAGGAAGCAACGGCCCAGATTTCCAACCCTCACCATCTTATGATACAAACCTCAATACAAAGCTAGTGAACATACACAGAGACACCTGTGACTACACATAACTACACATGTGTATATGCACACACCTGCACGTATAGTATTAGCCTGCCACAGGATATGACATCACCATCCCCACACACACCCATACACACACACCCACACCCACACCCACGCACACGCACACACACACACACACACACACACACACACACCCACAAAGTCCCACCCACACACACCCGCATACCTAGTGAACCAGGTGCCCAGTGAGTACTTGGGTAACAGAGAGGTACGCCCAAACACCTGTGTGTAGTCGAAGATGGCCCCTGTGTAGTCCAGCCCGTGCAAGAACAGGTACCAGTCCACCTTGTTGCGACGGGTGTACGCTTTGCCGGACTTATCGGTCCACCAGTCCTATTAACAGGTGCAGGTGCATTTATGGGATGCAACAGCGACATTGTTTGAACGTGAAACATGAACGTGTATCGAGAGATGTAAAACAAAATCCACAACCAATGAGTGTGTGCGTTTGTTTGTATGTTTCGTATAGCCCTATACTCACATAAAAAAGCCTGGTTCGGACCTTACAAAAACCTAAAGCCCTAAAATCAGGTAACCCAAAAACTAGGCACCAGAAAACAGCGATCAGATACACACAAACGACCCAAAAAAAAGATTAGAGAAACCCAAAAAAAACAACATATATACATACACAGCCAAGACAGGATAAAACTGCCAATTACGGCCATTGCATCACAGCCAAGATCACTAACATACCCATGAGCGTGAGGCTGTGACCCCTAACAAAATTATGAGCGTGATTCTGCAATAAAACGTGTGTGTAAAACGATGTGCTCCAAACAACCCCACACTTAATCGTAATATGTGTTGCGTACGTTTAAGGTTAGGGGACACATATGAGTACATATGTAGGTGTGTGCACAATGTAACACATGAGCATATATGTATGTAAGTGCACATCATAGGCAGCTCGATACCTTTTCATCCATCACAGGGCCATCGGAATCGTCCAACAGCGCCCCACCCACTGCAATACGCGATTTTTT